TTCATTTGGCTTGCTAACACGGTGCATATATAGTGGAGAGGAGGGGGACAAGATGAAATGGAAAAAATCATGGTCATAACTCATGTTTTCAAACCAAAATCCAACAAATTCAAAGCCTTCCAAATTTACCAAAACTTGCCTTATCCTTTCTTGAATGAACTTGTACATTTGTGCACAAAAAATGGGCCTCAAGACTGACCCAAAACACTAGCCCACATGTCCAAAATATTAACCTATTATTTTATGCATTTATTTTGTATTTGTTTAATTTTTAAATTAAACAAAAGTCAAAATAAATGTAAATAAAATAAAAGGCATGCAAAAATGGATTTAGAGGTCATTCATAAGATCATGATAGTGTTTGAAGTCCAAAAAGTTAGGCCATTGCCCTAAAAGTTCAAATTTGCTCAATGCACCATTCTTGAATTTTCCAAAATTTTCCCAACTTGGGAAAGCCGTAACTTGCTCAATTTTTATCTCATGATAATGATCTTTGACTTTTTGGAAAGCCCTAGATGTCTACTTAAGTCCCTATTTTTATCAATTTTGAATTTGAAGATTTTATCTTGATGTAAAAGGTCTTGGAAAAAAGTGTTTTTTGTTGACTTTCTGAAAATGACTGGTAATGTCTGAGCTCATATCCTTCAAATGGTGCATTTATTGATCTTTAGGGATGAAGAGAAGTTGTAGGTAATTGGATTCTCTTCAAAATGAGCTTTGGTTTAGAAATTTCTGATAAAGTATGAGAAAGTTATGCTTGGTCAAAGTTTGGTTGACTTTTCCTATAGAAACCCTAATTTAGCAATTCTTGACTTTGATGAATTAGGGGCATTTCTTGAGTAATCATGATCAACCCTTTATAAAATTATGGATATCACTTCAAAATATTGATGTTGACCAAAAATCTTGAAGTTTGTACATGAGCCACAGTTGACTTTTGATCTAGCACAGTTGATTTTCTAATATTTGAGCAATTGACTGAGCAAACTTATTGTGCAAGGCATGAAATTTGGCATGGATAATATTGAATGCCTATTAGGACCATGGGAATCATTTGAGACCATTGGAGATTAACCATCTTGATGAAAATTGAAACCCTAGTTGGGGGTTCATTGCCTTAGGAGGAGAATTTGTCTGGTCAATTCTTGGTCATCCATGAGCAATTGAGGACCTCTAGGAGTATGTCTTGTGTGAAAATGGGAGGGAAAATTTTGGGGTACAATAGATTTTATTATATTGATTAATTTGAAATGCACCTAACTTATGCGTTTGTGCCATAACCAATAATGTTCACCTTTGGTGACTAAACACTTAGTTTCATGCATTGACAGATCATCTAGATCAAGCATATAAACATTATCAATCCTAGAACCCTTAAACATAAGGTCCTTACTTTCCTTGTACTCAATTAAACAACTAAGAGTATTAAAAACCACGGTGTAACCTTTGTCGCATGATTGGCTAATGCTGAGTAGATTGTGTTTAAGACCTTTCACTAAAAGCACATTTTCAATGGTGATTGTGGAGGTATTTCCCACAATACATTCACCTATAAATTTACCTTTTGTGTTGTCCACATACTTGATGTGATTGTTTCCTTCTCATTGAACTTGATGAAAATGGAAGCATCTCCCGTCATGTGTCTTGAACATCCGTTATCTAGGAACCATAACCTTTTAGCTAAGACAATACCTTCTTGTAACAATCAAATAGGAAATTTAGGTCACCAACTAGTGGGTCCTTTAAGATTAGTTAATGTACGCTTAGGAATTCATGTTATTTTATCATTGGGAAATTTAATGTTCCTAATATGACAAAGAGTCATAATGTGTGCCTTATCACCACAATAATGACAAAAAGCTTTATATAAAATACTTTTATATTTCTCCTAGTGACATGAAGTTTTTTCTTGAAAATCGTCCCTCTATCACTTGAAGAACTAGAAGAAGTACAAGATGGTGAAGTAGCACGAGTTAGTTGTCCTTTGAGAGTTCAATTTCAAGTTTTAAATATGGACAAGTAACACACTCTATTTTAGCTACTAGAGATGTATGTGTTTCCTTAAGGGAATCCAAAGCGTGATTAAAATTATTTATCTCCTTTTCAAGTTTTAAAATCATTTTATTTTAGAGAGAAATTTTATTAAAAGCATTTTTAGAACTCACATAAATATCATTAAATGATTTTGACAATTCACTATATGAATATTCATCATCAGGTTCAGAAGTATATACCTTTAAGCCTTCACATTTCTTATGTGTCATCAAACATAGGTTGACACACTCATCATCTGAACTTTAGTAGGAACCTGGGGAGGAGATTTCATCCTCTTCTTTCCACACGATATAGGCTCTATGACCTTTGACACTTTTGCATTTAATCTTGTAGACTTATTTATCTTTCTTTTTAAGATGCTTGGTAAAACTTGGACAAGTAGTTTTATAGTGTCCTGATTTTTCTCACTCGTAACATGTAATATCATCATTATTTTTCTTTTATTCTCTTTTAGGTGAGTGAGTATTTCTAAGATTTACCAAACCTTTATCGGAATACTTGAGCTTGTTTCTTTTCAAGTATCCATTGTAGCTTCTAACAAATAAACACATCTCCTCTTATTTAGGAGCTTATTGGCCAGAGTTGTCACTTTCTTCCTTTGACTTATTCGCTTTAGATGATGAAGCTTTCAAACAAATATATTGTTTTTTTTCTTTCCTTTTCTCTTTATTTTTTTACTTGACTGAGTTATTTGTGAGTCGTTTCAGTTCACTTTCGTGCTCGCCTAACTCCCAAACAACTTTGTAATATCCAAAGTATTAAGATCGTTAGATTTTTTTATATAGAGGCAACTTTGGGTTTCCATTACATGTATATAGATCTCAATATTTTGTTAGTAATATCTTTTTTAGTATAGATTTTTCACAACTTACTTAGTTTGTTAATTAAGTGGAGGAATCTAATTTGCATGGAATTCACAAATTCTCCGGGTTTCATACGAAATAGTTCGAACTCCTCTGTAAACATGTTGACCTTAGAATCCTTGATGTTATATGTTCCCACATAGAGAGTTTAGAGAGTGTCTCACATACCTTTAGCACTCGTATGATGTCAAATTAAGTAGAATAATTTTTCGCTTAAAGCAGAGATAAGTATGCTCCTCGTTTTCAAATCATACGAAGTCTTTTTGGTTTCATCACTTGTCCAATCCTTTGGGTGTTTAACAATGTCATTATCGCTTGCAGGGATAAATGGTCCCTCAATGATGGTTATTCATATATTTTTGTCAACTGATATTAATTGTACTTACATGTTCGCTTTCTAATAAGTGTAATTTCTGCCATTGAAAACACGTGATCAATTGTACGTTCTCTTTGGATTGTCTTCGTCCACCATATTTTCAAACTTTTAGAATTGATTAGACACAATCAAAAGATCAGCTATTGATATCAATTGTTGGGTGAGAATATGGAATAGAAACGTTCTAGAGGGGGTGAATAGACCCTTTAAAATTATTCGACCAATTCTCCAAAAATGGATCATCAGATGTTTTACAAAAGTGCGCGCAGAAGATTTAAAGCGAAAATAGAAAGATTATACTTTTATTGAAATTTTGATCACGTCGACAAATACACATTTCACAAAACTCATAGATTGTTCAACAATGAATAACTGAACGATTTTATATTACACGAGATGTATCATATATGATATTTCAATTATGATCGGATTCTAACAACACTAGTTTTCCATAATTTAATCACCGCTAAAGTTCAATTAGGTACAAATTCTAACAAAATCTAACCTTATGTGATAAATTGATACCGGTGTAACTTTCTCTTTCCCAACGATTTTTCCTTTGGCTCAATCACTGAAAGTGACATGAAGTAAGATTTTATGTCAAGAGCAGCCACTATCAAAATATCAATCTTCTCGAGAAGAAACTCTTAAAGAGGTATAAGCTATATGACTTAGATTTTCTTCCTTGTCTTTCCACATTTGTTGATGACACACGTCTTTTGTTGCATATGTAGGATGAGAATGATGGGGGTAGAAGGTTCTCCCATATAATTTGTAGCAATAAGATTGTATATGACCATGTAGACCACAATAGCGACATGCCCAGAATGCTCCAACATATGCATTCGAGTACTGGTTACGATGTCAGGCAAAATATTGTAACTTGTAGTTTGACATGATAAACTCAGTTTTCTTAATAGAAGAACAATATTGGTTTTTGAGTCTAATGAATCATAATTGAACCAAATTCATTTCATGTCTTTTACCATCATGCTCACCCTTAGAATTTATTTATGGATTTTAATTCCAGAATTCAGCATGTGAACAGATTTAGTCATACCTTTAAGTTTGAAATTCAAATGATCAACGTCTTCCATTAATTCATAGATGGTGGCTATGAGACACACCTTGTCTTGAAGAAAAACTTCAATCTTCTTTTTTCAAGTTTGAAATTCAAACGATCAACTTCTCATTTAATTCATAGATGGTGGCTATGAGGCACACCTTGTCTTGAAGAAAAACTTCAATCTTCTCTTCAATCTTCTCTTTTTGTTTCCATTTGAAATACAATATCTTGTAGGCTTTGTTGAACAAATGACAACTTAAAACACAAGTTGTTTCCATTTGAAATACAATATCTTGTAGGCTTTGTTGAACAAATGACAACTTAAAACACAAGTTGTTTCCATTTGAAATACAATATCTTGTAGGCTTTGTTGAACAAATGACAACTTAAAACACAAGAGATGGGAGGGTGTATTGTAATATTTAAAATTCATGATTACTTTAGTAATTTTCTCGATTAGTAAACATAATATACATCCTTTATCAGCTTAAACAAATGTTATATCTCAATTCTAGGATCTCTTTTTTTTGTAAGTTTTATGTTTATATATTTGTATGATCCGAGAGACATTCTCTAAATCTCACTCTTGCAAAGACAACAATATGTGTCCGGATAGAATATGAGGCTTTATCGAATCAACATGTTTTCTCTGTCCTTAGACAACCAACAAACACATGACCTTCAAATCTACCAGGTAAATTGTAATTGTAAACTCCACATTTTCCATCAATCTTCCATCACAAACCATTACCATTTTATATTGTGTTCACAAACCATTACCATTTTATACTGTGTTATAGACACGTCCCTTAAATTCACATCATCTTATGCATGGTGCAAACTTGAGGCTACGCTAGGCATTTTCCTTGATAAATAATTCTGAAAGTGACACTACATAGGCAAACGTATTTCATATATCCAGCTTCTCTTTTAATCATTAGTACACAGCCTGCCTCACTAAAAGCATATGCTTGGAAAATTACAATATAACTTACACAAGCTGTATACATAGCTAAAGTCCAACTCAGACATATAAAAACCAAGCAAACTGCATACTCATTCCAGTTGCAAAATTGAATGCTGTGCTCCAATAACCATGAGACGTTTGTGCTGTTTTTCTACAGACATGTCGTGTCAGCTTCAAGGCTCACACTCTATGCCTGACGAACCCGATCACGCCAAGACCCTTTTTGCTTGGCCAGCACCTGAAACCAAATACAAGGGTTATTTGAATTAGTTGCTATGAGTATTATCCATGTCAGTTGTGGTTTACAAATCACTCACCGTTTCACTTAAGAGGCTTGAAACTAAGTCTTTTTTATCATCAACCTCCTTCTCATTCTCCCTTTCAGGCTCGCTGTCTGTACTGATGGTGGGAGGCGGAGGAGCTGTAGCACCAAACATAGCTTCATCATGAGCAGCTTGAATTTGTTCTTCTCGTTTGGACTACATAAGAACATGAATTCAATTTATATATAGCCAGTCTGCATAGGCAAGAATGCATATAAACAAGAAATGAAACTTTTTTTTGGCTATTTGCTCATGAAAGATAAGATACCTCAAATGAGGAAAACCGGAAACTCTGACCAATGTGTTTGACTAAGGATGCATCATCTTCGGCAACTGCAGATAGGTGGGAGAGTACAATCCATTACATTCAGTTCAACCCAAACCCAACACTATATTAGTTATTGTTCATTACAAACAAATATATCTAGAACTCTATGTTGTGAATCACATATTGCGGCATGTAGTACAGTATCCAAAAAATGCTATAGCAGTATGGCAGATTGTAGGATAATTTACAATTAAACGGAAGATTGTGGCCGAAAAGTCTTATCCCAAATGAAAAACAGCCACAAAAGAGCAATTTTACTACAATTGCGGCCGCAGCCACCGCGGCTGTTGAAGGCACCTTGCAGGTATAACGCGTCGCAATGGGAGCCTGCACAGCCACATATTCTGCAGTAGCACACGATAGCACCAGCATAGGCTAGAATAGAAAGACCATCACTCAATGATGCAAACATACAAACAAATCATTTGTAGGAATGATCACTGACAAACATAAAATTACAGCACTAAATACAGAGAAAACTATTAAGGTAATTTCCTCTTGATCAGATGCACAAGACATTTGAGAACAATAAGAAAACTATGTTAATAATTAGATTACATTTACATGTAAAGCCACAAGGAGACTAAAATAACATCTAAACCAAAATGAGAAATGTAAAGCAGATGTAAGCATATTTCAATCACTCTTACCAAGAATGCAGAACAAGCAGATAACAAAACAAGTTCAAGTTGTCTTACAACTCCAAAAAAGAAGTTTTATTCTGATAGATACCATAAATAATAATGAACGGAACTTCTATTATATCATGGAAATGTAGGAAAACCGCTGTGTAACTAATAGAGAGTAGCAGAACTTGATATCACAGTACAAGTATTTAGCACTAACGAAAAACTGTAAAGATGAAAGATAATATAGGCAATTAGAGAGGCCTAGTTTCTCTCAAGGATTCAAACTGAGTTCCAGTACACCCCTACTCTTGTCTCGTTCCTCCATAACATAATCTCAATTACATCACAATTTGTGCTACCCCTCTTTATCCTAACACAGAATTTAGTTAATTTAGAAGTTCTATCATAATCAAAGAAGATTGAAGTGAATATATTGAGTGGAAAAGGGACAGAAACCCCACAAATATACTTATGTTCATATAACAATATAACATTCATAAACAATATCATCAAAACAAATCAGACCTTCGATTTCCTCATCATCAAGAGGAGCATCCTTGTTGAACTCAAATCGTTCCCAGCCCACACCTCTTTCTGTATCCCGTGCAGCTGCATTTTAAAGTATCAGATAAAATATAATTAACACGATCTCGATGAACCATATCATTTGCTAAGCTAGGAAGCAACTATTTCTAACCACACTTCAAGAATAAAATATTTTAATTTTTTCAATAACACCCTAGACAGTAGTAACCTAACCCTGTTTCTTACACAAAAATCGGTTTTCACAGTAGACCTACACACACATCAAGTTCTGGAAATTTGAAAATGATTCTTAAACAAGTAAAAACAGCAAAGCTTTTACCAGTTTCAGAAAGCTGAAGCTTCATCTTGGCTTTGACTCTTTCAGCAGGTGCCTATTGATAATCACAAATATTTATAAAAATAACTCATGTACAACAGTTTTAACCCAAAAAAAAAAAAAAAACCATAACAAGGAAATTAAGAAACTTTTAATTACCATATTATCATAACCTTCAATTAACTTTGCATAATCAACCCCAACATTCTTCCCTTTCCCTCTTTCCCTAACATCATTTGTTCTCACCTCAGACCTACGTTGTTTACCAGGAGACACACTCCTACTCCTCCTTCGCCCCCTCTCTCTTTCTCTTCTCCTCCTCCTATCTCTACCCCTATCACCATCCGAATCGCTTCGGCTTCGATCACGATCTCTATAACTAGTGTATCTTTCTCTACTCCTACTTCGCCTCCTTGAATCCCTATACCTATCTCTGCTCCTACTCCTGCTTCTTCGTCTTTTTCTTCTATCGCTGTCCCTGGACTCTGAAACCCTAGATTCGGTGGTGGGTTTCTTCTTGAGTTTGTTTTGAATGGATTGGAGCTGGGATTTTGTGTCGGGTTTGGGTGGGTCGGAAGGGGTGGTGGATGAGGAAGAGGCTTTAACGAATTGGGAGAGGAAGGAAGAGGAAGATGCGAGGGCTGACCCGGGTTTAGGAACGACGTCGTTTGAGGAGGAGGTAGAAAAGCCGAGACCTTGTTTGAATTTTGCGGCTCCTTCGCCTTTTCGAGTGAGCTCGTCGTAGTATGCTGCGGCTTTTTCCTCTTCCATCTTCTTCTACTCCTTTTCTTCTTCCATCTTCCCCAAATATCAAACAAGTATAACCATTTGAAAATTAGTTTATTACACTTTCGTTATAAAATAATTTATTAAAAATTATTTCTTATAAATTTTTTTTTTTTTTTTACTTTTGTTACAAAATCGTCGTCTTCTTAAACCTCAAATTGTTCTTATCGTGTACATTTCGAGAAAATTGTTATCCGGGATATTGATCTAGGATAGAGGATCTAAAGAAGAGTTAGCCCACAAAGGTGTTACTAAGTTGACCATACTACATCTCTTCCATGAAAATTCGATCAAGTCGGCTAGAGCATAACTAGTCCACAACAGAGCTAGCCCGCGAAGATACCAAGGCGGCCAGCACAGGTAGTCTATAGAGCTAGCTTGCGAAGGTATTATCAAATACGACTTTATGACATTTATTGTTGTTGTCTAACAAAGAGGATTATAAAAGAGAGACTTCTATAAGTACGAAGTGCGTCTAAGAGGGGTGAATTAGGTACTTTAAAATTTTTCTGATTTTAGTGATGATGGATATTATTTTTCTGGTTTATGGTGAGTTTATGAAAGAGTAAATTGCAGAAAAATAAAGAGACACAAGCGATATATCCTGGTTCTCCTTACAGTCTGAGAGTACTTCAGTCCCCTTTTAACATGAAAGAGATTTCCTTATTGTGGCAAACTTAAATAAGAACTACCCAAAACCAAGAACAATCCTCTTGGACCAAGAACAATCCTCTTGGATTTTCATTATGTCAACAATGAGAACAATCCTCTATAAGTGACTTTACTTGTATCCAATAATCCTGGAAAAACAAGATTACAAAACCACTTGAACTTATTTTCAACAATCCTGAAAAATAAGCAAGTATATAGCAATATTTGATTTGAGTGAGTTTGTGTAGAAATGATCACTCTGAGTGATTTTATCAATGAATTGATCTTCTCTTCCAATAACAATAGTATACAATGACTTAAGATATATATAATGCTCAAAGTTTTCTGGTTGACAATATGTGAAAGTGTGCAGAAAACTTGTGTATGAAAGTGTATAAAAGCTTGAGTTTGATTTTTGAAAATTCAGAAAATATGATTGGAAGAGGTACTTAAAATGATTTTGAAAATGAGTATTTATATGTTCATAGCACCCTTTTGAAACATCATATAATTCTGCAAATGAATCATGAACAATTGCCAAGATTTAGTGAAAGGTTTTCATGAAATGGTGTTATGAACATGCATGAGTAAAGTTGTTGTTTTTCAAAATCGTTTAGCATGCAATCGATTGCACCCTTGTGTAAATCGATTGCACGGGGTTTCAACAGCTAAAAATTCTAATATTTTGAGTGAGCAATCGATTGCACTTGAAGTCAGTAGAAAAAATTGATTGAGAGCAATCGATTGCACAAACATGCAAATCGATTGCACTTAGAAACAGTAGCTAATGCTTTGAAAACATGAAGCATGCAATCGATTGCACCAACATGCAAATCGATTGCACCCAAGTGAAAATTGAATTTTTGCTTTAGAAAACTTGAGAAAAAGTTTGGACAAGATAAAATATTTCTTTTGACCATTGAGCATCTATGTCTTAAGTTCAAAGTAAGTATTATTATTATACCTTGAAATTCGCTAAGTGTTTCAACCAAAGACTTTATCCAAAGATGCTTTTAGCTTGATCAATAATCTTTGCCTTCTTGTCAAAATGGTTTGTCTTCATCAAAATAAAAGTGCATTTGAGAAGCTTGATTTTACATTCTCCCCCTTTTTGATGATGACAAATGATCTTTCTTGATGCGTTGTAATTTCCGGAAAGAAATTTCTCCCCCTAAGATGTATAACTCCCCTTTTGTATGAGAAGGTTGGAATCCTTTGAATTTGTTCATCTTGGTTGAAGAGTATCTTAGAAATTCAAGACAGGAAATATACAAGCATAAAGTGCCATATCTTTCTCCCCCTTTGACATTATCAAAAAGAAGGGAAAGATGCAATAAAAATGGATAATAATAAAACAACGTTAAAAAAACTTAATCAATCATGCATCAAAAATAGTCATAGACATAGTCATAGTAAAATAACAATTACAAAGAAATCTGAACAACAACAAACAAAACGTAGCATAACGGAACAAGGACATAACAGAAAAACAGTAGAAATAACAAAGTTGGACAAAATTTTATGGTTGATTCATGTCACGGTTGTTATAGAACCAGGATCCTTGATTGGGAAATTGTTGTTGTAGAGGAGGTTTTGTGTAATATGGTGGAGGTGCAGCAGGATTATTAGGGTCATATGGAGGTATGTGAAGGTGAGAGTAAAGGTAGGAAAATTGTTGGTTCACATCCGAGCAAAAATCATTAATCCGAGAAGTCGTGGATTCATTGATGGTATTCCACTAGTTTTTGATGTTGGTATTCATGGAAGTAAATTGTTGAGACATAAAATCCATAAGATCTTGATTACTTGGACCAGAGGGAGCAGTAGGTGGAGGAGGTACATCTTCACCACCTTCTTCCTCTTGATTATTTCCTTCTTCACCAATCACATCTTCACCAATGTATGTGATTGTTTTTGTTTTCGGATTATAGTGAACTTCCATTCTCGAGTCAACATTTTTGATGGAGATCTTGTGAACATTTGGATTCATATCAACTCTTTCAAAACCAGCAAAATCAACTCCAAATTCTTCCATAATTAATGTAACAAAGTAAGCATATGGTAGAAATTTTGACTTTGCATCAATCCTTAGCATATGAACCATTATGATCCTTGCCCAATTAACGCTTATATCTCTCTTCCTTACGTAGATCAGTTGCATTTCCAAATCAGTCACGATGCAGTGGTTTCCAGCCCACGGAAACATAATATAGACCATGAAATAATGAAATAGTCTATCGTCTATAAAAAATTTACCTGCACTCCATGAGTCTCTAGATGGAATGACTCCTCCTAGACCACGAATTCTTTTAGCATGGAATTCAGCTTCGCTCAATCTGCCAATGTTGTAATAAAATTCCTTTTTCCTGTAATTATCCCATGCTTCGTTTTCAGGATCGTACAAAGAGCTCTAAGTATAAGGGATATGTAGAATCTCACCAACAATCTCAGGGGTTAGAGAGATTCTTGTACCCAACACATATGTAACCATCTTGCCTTTGTGAGGAGTCAAATTACTGAAGAATACTTTTACCAGATCCGGATAGTATGAACCAAATGATGAAATCAGTGGTTCCAATCCATATGCAGTCAAATCATTATGAAAAGTAAAACATTTCTGAGGGAAATATGATAGCATACCATATTTTGGAGTGGACACTATCTTTCTTTGAAAGTCCTTTTTTTAAATATTGCTTTATGATCTTCAGTGAGAGTTGAGATTAATGGATTCTCTGCAGAAGATGAAGCAACTTTCTTCTTTCCTTTCTCTGTAGCTGACACCTTTCGTTTTTGCCTTGATGTCATGGGTAAGGTGTTTTTAGGGTTTGGAAGGTTTTAGGTTTTGAGAGGAAGATGTTTGATGAGCTGAAATTGGATATGATTTGTGAGTAAATAGAAATGAGTGGGTTGTTTTATATGTAATTACATTTAATTGACTTTTCAATAATAGAGGTGAGCTTGGGAATATGAGAGAGAGAGAGAGAGGAATTCTGACCAACAAATATTTATGTCATAAAAGCATGTTACAGTGGATGCAATCGATTTGCATACAGATGCAATCAATTTGCACACAAAACAGAATCAAAAGAAAACTGAAATGCACAGTGTGCAATCGATTTGCACTGAAAACAAAAAGGTTAGAAATAAAGCATACAGTAAGCAATCAATTTACACTATTGTGCAATCGATTTACATCAACCAAAAATGACTAAAAACATATTTTTCTTAAACTTAAACACCACTTAACATATATATTCACATATAACAAAGTTAAAACAAGTATGTGAAAGCATAAAAAGGATAGAAAGCACCTTATATGTCGTGTTCATCAAGAATGCCAAGTTCTCGTCGAATCTTATAAAACGGTTCTCTTGCCAAAGGTTTAGTGAAGATATCGGCAAGTTGATTATGAGTATCTACAAATGTGACCTCGACATCTCCTTGAAGTACATGATCACGAAGAAAATGATGTCGTATGTCGATGTGTTTGGTTATTGAATGCATGACCGGATTCTTTGTAGTATTTATTGCACTTGTATTATCGCACCGTAGAGGAATGCATCCTAGATCGAGTCCGTAGTGACAAAGTTTTTGTTTGAGCCACAATATTTGAGCGCAACTACTACTCGCTGCAATATATTCTGCTTCGGCCGTGATAAGAGCAACACATGCTTGTTTCTTGCAAGCCCGTGATACTAATGCATTTCCAAGGATGTGACAAGTACCACTTGTGCTTTTTCTATCAGTTTTACAACCTGCATAATTCGCGTCAGAATAACCAACTAAATTACGAACACTGCCTTTAGGATACCATAATCCAACATTTGTTGTTCCTTTGAGATACTTCATGATCCGTTTCACCGCCATGAGATGAGATTCCTTTGAATTTGCTTGAAAGAGAGCACATAGACAAACACTAAATATTATTTCAGGACGGCTTGCCGTCAAATATAATAAGGAGCCAATCATACCTCGATATTTTGTAATGTCAGTGGAAACACCTGATTCATCTTGATCAACATATGTACTGGAACCCATTGGTGTAGACATTGCCTTACAGTTATCCATGTCAAATCTTTTCAACAGTTCCTTGCAATACTTGGATTGGTTGATGAATATGCCATCCTTTAATTGCTTGATTTGAAGTCCAAGAAAATAATTCATTTTACCCATCATGGACATCTCAAATTCTCCTTGCATCATTGCTGAAAATTCTTCACACATTTCTTTGTTTGAAGAGCCGAAAATGATATCGTCAACATAGACTTGAACTAGCAAAGTGTCACCTTTGATTTTCTTGATAAACAATGTCTTGTCAACTTTACCCTTTTCAA